CCACCAGAAGGTGCGTTAGGCTTGTGGCAAGCTTTTGGGCCTCAGTGGCCAGGCGTTGGTCAACACTGTTTGCCTGGTCATTTACCCACAAGGGGATGGGTAACTGGGTGTTTTATTGGGAAACCATTTTCTTCTCTCTTATATGCTTGTTCTCCAAAGGTTTTTTTTCACACTAGCTCCTTTTTCTTTATGCAAATGGATGGCTGGACCCCTTTAGAGTGTGCAGATGTATAACACTTGCACATGCAGACCCTTCATGAACTCCAGTTAGCACTTTCTTCAAAAATGTGGGCAGAGCCTCCCCTGGTGGCGCAGTGGTTGAGCGCTGAGCTGCGAAGCTGCCTGCACTGGTTCGATCCCTGGTCACCGGGCGAGGGTCCCACATAGCATGACAAATCTCTCCTGCTGCGCCCACTGCTCCCCTCAGCAGTGTATTTTATCGGTCTGTGTGTTTTGTTCCCCGCTCTGGCTCTGGTGAATTCTCTCACCCTCCCGCGCTTCTGACTGTACCCAGTGCTTGTATAAATAAATAAATAAATAAATAATCTTAAAAAAAACAAAACAAAACAAAACAAAAATGTGGGAATTCATTAGCCACTCTGACCAGGGTGCACAGAAAGTTTGGGAGTAAGATGGGGGTTAAGGCCAGGACTAAGGGTAGGGGGTATGACTTCAATGAGGAAGGTCCAGATTTCTTATGTAAAGGTAATAATACAAAGTTAGTAACTTGAACTAATTTGTTTACATGGGAAAATAATCTATGGCTATCAGGACCCAAGGAATCCATTTATTTCTGCTCTTTCAAACCTGAACCAGTGCTGGCTGGGGTCTTCAAGGGTTCTCCTTTATTATCTTTGCCATCTTCAAACACCCTTACAACTCCAATAACTTCAAGGAGGACTGGTCCAGGCAGGTGCTAAGGGTTGAGGGTGGTATGTACTGCGCTGTCACTCAATAGCAGCACGTTTGGGGCCAGTCATTTTAACTCTCTGAGATTCCATCTCCTCCTCTGTAACCTGGGAGTGATAATACCATTCGTTCTGGATTGTTGTCAAATTAAGGGGTTAACTTACTTAATAGCATGTTGTTATTACAGCAGTTGTGAAGACCAACTGACATTTATACATTAGCTCCTGAAAATAAGAATTCAGCTCTTCTACATCAACTTTGTCCTTCCTCTCTTGACCTAATTTTAAAAAATTTCAGAGAGTTAGTGATGCTTCTTGAATGGATATCTGGACCCCTAGTTCCCACACTTGGCTGCACAGCAGGATTTTAAAAGACACTGGATGTGGGCACTGAAGAATCTGTATTTTCAACAAGGTTACCCATTGATCTGGCCTTGTGTATGGATGTGGGTTTGCTTCGACCCTCTACCTGTCATGCAGTAAGATGTCCTTTCTGCTATGCAGGCAAGTGGACACACTTTAACAAGCAGGGGTGCACACTCTCCTGGGAGCCCTTCCGGTGTCTGAAAGCTTTTCACTGCTCTGTTTTTCCTGATGCATTTCTCCAAAGATCCTGAATAGCTCGTGATAACCATCCAGTCAATTTTGTGTCTCCCAGTTGGATTACCAGCCCCATCCTGCCCTGTGGGAGGTGGGTTCAGTCATTTGTCTCTACTGGTTACTCTCTGAGACTAGAGTTTTCTGAGACGCTAACTCCAACTCTTCATTCCTTCCCCACACTTTCTCCCGTCTGGAGTTTGGGTTTATTTTTCTTCCTGCCTAACTACTTCTAATATACTAAGTCAATAAACAGATTCTCTGTGGTTACATATGGCAAACAGCTGAAATTTACAGTTGAGAGTAAAATTTCCTCATTTGGGAAAAAAAAATCATTTCACAGATTTAGAAAGTGGTCATTCTGATCTCCAGGGCAAATAAAAGTGTTTTATAACCTTCCACAAAAGCTTATGCCTTGATTAAATTTTTATTATGAATTATTAATTATACCGAGGAAACACAGAGGCCTAAACCTTTGCTTAAATTTGCTCCAGATTGAGACACAAACTAAAGGCGACAAGAAAGCCTGAAGGGGAGGTTTAATGATGAGCAACACATATAAAACTATCCGAGCACTTTCATCTGCCAAAGCCACCAAACCAACTATGTAAATTGGCCCGTGTGCCCAGGCTGTGGAGGCTGGCAACTGGTCTGCAAGAAATAGGACCTCTTCAGTCTCTTTCACCTGGCTTCTCTTCTGTGTGGGGGTTTCCTGGGGCATTGAGCCTTTGGAGACACAGAGACTCTTCACTTCCTGGCGGGCCGTGGTCAGGTGCTAGGAAGCAGAGGAAGCTGCTAGGAAGCAGAGTAGAAAAGCAGCCCAGAGTCTTGGAAGACAAGCCAGTGGTAAGAAATAGCAGCCCTCTGTGCTCATGACTGATTTGTTCAACCAGGGCCACTAAATACAGGAGAGCAGGTTGCTCAAGGACAGGGACCAGTGGTTACAGGCACCAGCTCACTGTGTCCTTGCAGAACCTTGCTCCTTGCTGTAGAGCTGTGAGGCAGGAGCATCCACAGTCTGAGCAAAGGCGTGATATGCTGTTCAAATCTTGCTTGGGGATCCATTGCATGTGGGTACAGCAGGTAGGAGGGGTGGGCCTTCATTCTTTCAGAAGGATGTGTTTTCTAGAACACAGAGGGATTGTATGGATAAGCAGGGCTTAAAATTCAACAGATCAGTGCTGGGGATACCTGTCATCAAAGGGCTCATGGTGACTTGGGGAAGTGGACAGACAAGCAGAACATACCAGCACCATGGGGATAAGACCATCGTCTTTGGGTGTCTATCCAGATGGAACTGGACAGGAGAGGCTCAGGGAAGGTTTATTGAGGAGGACTTCTAAATGAGGTCTGACAAGTAGAAGGGGCTGGAGAGTGAGGCCATGGAGAGTGGAAGGCTCTGAAGGGAAAGGGAGCTACGTGATCACTGTGAGGAAGGGTGAGGGCTAAAGGGCAAAAGAGAGTGGCTTGTGTGCCTGGAAGACAGGGGGGCATTGAGAGGTGAGTGGAATGTGGGGCTCTCCAACACATGTGCTTGTGGTCAGGCCATTTCAAATGTGAGCATTGATTCAAATATGAAAGAAAAGGTAATGCCCATTCCCTTTCCCCACTGGTCAGTCAAGATTGGAAAGCAGAGCTTTCCAAATGGTCTTGGCGCTTGATGGGCTCCGAGCCCAGTTTCTCCCCTTTCTCCTGCATCCTTTCAATAACAGGGATTAAAGGTATACATCTGTCTGTGTTTTACAACATTTTAAAGAGTAACTAACAAAAATGTGAGGTGATGGGTAATCACCAGAGTTCTAGGCATGGAGGGCAGCCCCCATGATTTTTGTGCCCACTTCTGAGTTGGTTGCTAAGAGCAAACAGAAGGTGTTCTTCTGCAGGAAGCTCATTCCCCATCAGGCACTCCAGAGGAGCGCAAAGGAGAGCTCTTCTACTTTTTTTTTAAGATTTATTTATTCATGCACACAAGAACTGGGGTGTAAGCCAGAGGTGCAGGGTGTGGGAGGATTCACCAGAGTCCAGTAAGTGAAAGTTGCCGTTACCCCATTATCTTTAGCGGTTCACGTCTCTCTGTGGGCTCTCAAGCTCCCAGACAAGCCTGGGGAAGAGTCTCTACAGAGACAGTGTGGCATTTATTTGGCTCTTATTCATATTGAATTCAGTGTTCGTGGAAAGTGGCATGTTGACAATACTGCTCCTTAGCGCGACATCACATAAATAAGTTTGAAGATACTGCTTAATAAGAACAATATAAAGATAAGGGAAGTGGTAGAAAAAACTGAAAGATGCTGTTTCCTCCCTAATATCTGCCATGAATCATTTCTCAGAGGGAAGACAGAGAACAGAGGTGCCCGGGGACAGCACATTGGCTGGGGGCGGGGGGCTGGCGAAGGGCTTCCTGAGAGGGGCTATCACAGATTTCTCCCACTGCTTTGGTCTGAGGCTGGGCAGACAGGGAAGAGGAGAGCTGTGGGGCTGGTCTCCAGAGCGTGGCGGAATGGTGAGCTTTCACTGGCATCTAGTCTGTAATCTGCTTTACTGAATCATTCCATCTGGACACTGCAGCCACTCAATTAACCAGCACCTAATAAATGCTTGTTGTGAGGCAGGCACAGTGGGGGAGCTCTGAAAGAAGTGGGCCATTCTGTCACCACAAAGGAATGACCTCAACCCTCTAGGACTTCTCTTTCCAGAAAAGCCTACACTCCTACCTTGTCCTCATTTACTCAGAGGGAAAATAAGGTGCAAAATTCCTAGTTTACTTTTTTTTTTTAAAAGATTTATTTATTTATGCCTACAACAGCTGGAGTGTAGGCCAGAGGTATGATGGGGTGAGATGATTCACCAAAGACAGAATGGGGAGCAGAACAGGTGGATCTATTGAAATACACTGCTGAGGGGAGCAGCAGGCCAGGCAGGAGAGGTCTCCTGCACCATGTGGGTTAGCTCCTTGGCTGGGGATTGAACTCGTGCAGCAGTGGCTGGCACTAGCTTGATAACGCGGGACTTCAACTCCTGCACCACCAGAGAGGCCCCCTTTGAATTTCTTGAGGGAGAAAAGGTTCTTGGAAAAACATTGTTTATTCCTTTCTTTTGGATGTTCTTTCCTGGAATTTAGGTCAATTATAAGTCCCCCAAAGACCCCTTGGGGGTTGTTATTATTTGTTTTTAATGAGGAGATGTCAGGAACCGGCTTTAGGGCAGTTGAGAAGACTTTGCTTGTTACTCTGCTGAGCCTGGCAGTTGCTGTGCTCCAGGGTTGGAGTCTGGGAAGGAGAGGGTGTGCACACCGGCTGGGGCTGGCTCAGCACACCACCCCAGCGATCTTATTGGAAGAAGACTCCCCTCACCCTCATCAGAATATAATGAAAACCAGACGGTCTATGGTGGGATGGTAGAGGAGTGGGAGGAGCAAACAGGCAACAGGTGGTCCCACTTCAGGTAGAAAATAAAGGGTGGTCCACAACCAGGCAAAGTGCCGAGCAAGGGAGCTTCCGCTGTCCTACCCGAAGCTAGGCTTTTCCTGTGCTCCTCAGCACACCCGGCAGAGGCAGCTGCTAGTTGGGAGGAGCTTGAGGATGCGGGTGTGACCAGAGAATGACAGAGGTATGCCTGGGGCAAGAGAGAACTTTAGCTTGGGAAGGGAACTGAGGAGGAACGTAAGTGAAGGAGTTGGCATTTCAGAGAAATGTATACCTCTTGGGTACCTGTTGGTTTGATTCAGGTGCATGAAGTGGCTCAAATGGGTTTTAGAGATTAATTAGCTCCAATTTCTAAGTTTAGAGTTGAGGAAATTGAAGCCCAGAGAAGTTTCAGCTTGCTTTTAGTCACCTGGCGAGTTTGCGGCCTGGCAAGGGCCTAAGATCAGAGCTGTGATTCGTGTCTCATCTTTGCTCGGAAGCTGGAAGTGCCTTTAGCTTGACCCTCTGAAGAAGAGGAAGAGCCCATGAGGAAAACAGTGACCTTGGAGTCAGATGATCTTGGTTTTGGGGTCTAACTGCCCCAGTTCTCCCCCTTTATTTGCCAGTATGTGTTCCCAGGCTTTTCAGATGACACCTCCTCATTTGCAGGCTGAGGACATGTGGGGATCAGTAGGGAGAAAGAGTTCAAGTCCAGCGAGGCTCATCGGAGTCCTTTGGGGTGTCTCCCCCTTCCTTCTTTTGGAGGTGGCAGTTACTGGGCAACATGACCCCTGAGGAGGAGATTAACTGCCTCAGATAGGAAGGGTTTATCTTGAGGTTATTGCAAATGTGCCTGACTCCTTAATCTAGTTCTGTCCAGATCTGAACTGGTAGCCAGATAAACTGTTGGCTGCTGGATTTCATGTATTTATCAAGTCTAAACAATTATAAGAAGGCAATTATCCCCTCGGAGGCCTGTGACTCGAAAGATAAGCAATGCCCTGCAGGCCTGGTTTCTGTCATGGATTCATCAGCCGTCACTCCACGCTCCATTAGGATTGTCTCCTCTTTCCCCACTGTCCTAAAATCTAAAGGAGGTTGGATGTTCTAACACATCTGTTTTGGTGTTCTTTTGCCCATAGCTGAAAATAAAATTGAATAGTTTTTATAGGTGGATAAATCCTTTTTAAAGGCCCCTTTGTTATCACCATGGGGTTTGTGAGCACTAAAAATGGGTTTTGAGGGGCCAGTAAGAACTTAGATCAGGGTTTGCTCTAGCTGGAAGGAACTGAATGACCCAAGCACCAGCCATTTCATGCTGTAGGTGAGGATGCCAAAGTGCAGAGGGCTCCAGTTGTCTTGTGGAAGGAACGTGCTCTATAGAGATGGGCAGGTGAGGGTTTGAAGCCTGGCTGTGTCACTGACCTGCTGTCTGACCTGGGGTAACTCCTGGAGCCCCGATTTCATCATCTATCATACTGTGATAGATGCATCACAGAGCCTCATTGTAAAGGTACCAGCTGTTTGCCTCTGGTCAAGATCACATTGTAATTGGGAGCACAGCCAATGACAGAATCCTAGCATCCTGCTCCCAGATCTTCTTTCCCTTAAGCTGCAGAATCTTCTCCCGAGCACTTCGATTTACCATTAAATAACAAGCAAAGATTCTTCTTTGTCCCACCCAAAGTGCTAGTTCAGTGTTTCTCAGAATGGGTCCTTCCAGATGGTCTAACACTCAGTTCCTCTCTGAACTCATGTTTATACAATGACAGCATCTATATTTTTTCTGGAAGTATTAATGCTCCACTTGCCATTGTATTTAGGGAAAACCAGACATCACCTCATGAACGTCTCATTGAAAGAGAGTGTCATTTATTCCATTCATTCTGGCAAAATTTCTGTTGAGGTTTGGTGGCAGCAGGAATCCTGGGAGGTTTTCTACCCAGCCTGAGTGTGTCACTGGTCCACATTTGGGAGTCCCCCGGGATGACAGATCCGTTTCCAAGTCAGGGACTACCCCCGAGGTCCCAGCACTAGTCCCTGCAGCCCGCGCCAGGGCGATGTCTGCGCCTCGGACACTAGGTGGCGCCACAGGAACATCCTCGCGTTTGCAAGCGTGCAGGACCCACCACCGCGCCGCGGAATTCTCGGCTTTTCCACGCAGGGACCAGCTCGGGAGGGCCACCTCTCACCACCCTGCTTTCCGGGGAGGGCCTGATGTCGTCCCACCCGGTGAGGGGAGTCGTGACCCACTCGGTGTGAGGATTCTCCAATGCAGCATTTTAAGCAGCAAAGGGCTAAGCGTGTTTGCTCCTCATTAGTGGCTGCCCGGCTCTCCCGCCCCCAGGGTTATTAATGACTCATTTGCTTTGAGTGGCATCGTTACAAGGTTTTGGAAGCGCTAAATATACCGCTCTGTTTTACTATTTTTAAGACTACAGACGTGATACAAATGATGCTTACCTGATGGGTGCCTCCAGTTGGCCTGAAGGGGTTGCCGTGGGGACTGTGAGCGGAGGGTGGGGGGGGGGCAAGGGTGTTAAGTGTCTGGGGAACGTGTCCCGATGCTGTTCTGCCAGGTTTCCAGGGGCCTGGGCACCCCTCGCGCCCTCTGGAGGCGGGCGGGGCCCGGCGCGGGGTGCGGGGTGCAGGTGGGGTGCAGCCTGGGGGTGGGGGGGGCCGTCGGGCCCCCAGGGTTCGCTTCCACAGCTGGAGTCACAGCATTTCCCTCCTCCCGGTCCCGTGGGAGCTTTCCAGTTGCCCCTCAAATCGCAATAAAGTTTCCCCACTTCAAAGTCTGTAGCTGTCCTCTCGCGTTCCAGGCTGCATCACCATTTACACTGCCCTCATTTCCTCTGCCCCATCCGAGACAAATGGCTTATTGGCCCCTCGGAGATCTCCAGTTCCTGCCTCCACGCCGCCCTCTCCCCAGCAGCACCCCTCCGCTCCAGTGCTGGGCTGCTCTCTCCAAGGACCCGCTGGTCTGGACCCAGCAGGCACTGGTTTGGGCTAGATCTGGGGTCCCTCCACCACTCCAAGGCCTCCTTCCTCTTGCATCCTGGAAAAGTAGACCATGTGTGGCCCTTTCCTTGCTTAGAGCTGAAGGCACACTTTAGGTATTCTTGCCCCTGTTACCAGGGCCATCAAATCTGGAAGTACTTTTTCTTTTCTTTTTTTCTTTTTAAAGATTTATTTATTTTTATACAAGAGCTGGGGTACAGGCCAGAGGTGCTGGACGGTGAGAGAATTCACCAGAGACAGAGCAGGGAACAGAACAGGCGAAATACACTGCTGAGGGGAGCAGCAGGCGAGACAGGAGAGGTCTGCCGCGCCATGTAGGTAGCTCCCTGGCCCGCCAAGACTCAAACCCGTGCTGCAGAGGCTGCGGACAGCTTCCCAGTGCTGCCCTCAACCCACTGTGCCACCGGGGAGGCACTGGAAGTACTTTCTCAATAACAGCAGTTTCTTTTTCTTCCCCAGAAGGCTGCCTTTTTTTACTAGTAAGCACAATGTCCTAGGAGTGCAGGCTGGAACATAGATGGAAATGTCAAGTACGTTAGCCTCTGCTGTGAGGTCAAAGAGATGCTAGAAAGAATGGGAAGAGTTGGCAGAAGAAAAAGGGAGAGAGGAAACCAGAGTTACCAGAACTAGGGGCCCCCGATTTGCAGGGTTGTCTGAACCCTGCGTCTTGCATCTGAGCTCTGGGTAAGTTGTTTAAATTCTTGAGCCTCAGATTCCTGTTCTGTGAAATGGGAATACTACCTACCTCTCAGGGCTATGGTAAGCATTATAAACTATTGTATATATGAAGTGCCCTCCTGGCAAACAAGAAAGGTTAATGTATGATAGGTGTTACTTTTTTTTAAGATTTATTTATTTATGGATACAAGAGCTGGGGTATAGGCCAGAGGTGTGGGGGGTGAGAGGATTCACCAGAGACAGAGTGGGGAGCAGAACAGGCAGAATGACTGAAACACACTGCTGAGGGGAGCAGTGGGTGAGTCAGGAGAGGTCTGCTGTGCCATGTGGGTTGCTTCCTGGCTGGCCGGGGGATCAAACTCATGCTGCAGAGGCTGCAGGCAGCTTCATAGGTTGTGTCTTACCTGGTTGTGCCACCAGGGAGGCCCCCGATAGGTGTTACCTTTTTCATATTGAAGCTAGTACTCTGGCCTTTCACCAAACTTATTTACACACATCCAAAAGATTTTGCTCAGTGAAATAAGCCAGAAGGAAAAAGAAAAATATCGGATAGTTTCACTTATAGGAGGAATATAGGGGAACCAAATAAGGAATCAGGAAAAACAAGTAACAACAATAATCAATTAAAAAAAACAAAATTAGTAGGCAATGATAAATCAGAGACTTTCTGCAGGGGAAGTGGCGAAAAAGGGATCAAAACAGGAGAGGAAAAAGCACAAGGGACTATGGTGATGCTTCACAGGTAAATTGGTGGTGGGAATTTTTTTTTGGGGGGGACTACACCTCAAAGGAGAAAGCATCCAAGCATACATTGTATAAAAATGAACAATGATGTAAAAAATATACATATACATATATATATATATAAATTAAAAAAAGAATTTGGTGAAATAAAAACAAAAACAAAAGAACCTAGTTTCAGCTACATGTGGGATTAGGAGAATTATTCCCGGGCTATTTGTGTATAGTTTTATGGGCTAGAAGTTTCTCGCAATGAAAATGGAAGAGAGGGTGACTGGCTTATTTTCTTCTCCCAGGACTCGGGAATAGAGATTTACACCCCTGGCGATAAGCTGTAGCGGGAGCATGTTTGCTTCCCCTGGTGTTCAGTGGGGATTTCTCACCGACCCCTGGCAAGAAGTGTTCTGGGACACCCAATATTGCTGAACTACCTCATTTGAAGGAATAGCACCTGGGAGTAAGTCCACCTTTTACTTTTTTCAAATCAAATTTTATTGATTTGTCATCCATTGACATAACCATATAATTTGGGGAGTACAGCCTTGCACCTCAACATGTGCACATGCTTCCCTCCACCCAGGCTCCACTACCACTATACTCTCATGTTACACCCCATGGTCCCCACTGTCCCCTCCCCCCAGGTAATCACATGTTTTCTTTCTATTTATTGTTGTGTTCTGCCAGTTTGTTTTCTTTGATTTATATTCTACAAATGAGTGAAACCATCCGGCAATTGTCTTCTACTTTCTGACTTACTTTATTTAGCACAGTCACCTCAAAATTCATCCTCCACTCACTATTTGGGCTACCAGCAAGCATAATAATATACAAATCAAATATGTATTAAGTAAAGGTGTGAAGAATATTTTTATTCATTTTAATCTGATATTCAAATGAGGATGTTGTATACAATGTTCTATGACATGTGCTTCAGAAAAGCCACATCTAAGGGTCTAGCCACAATGGCCCACTGATAAATTCTTTAATGTTTTAAAACCTAGGAATTTTAAAGCCTGGGAAGAAAAGATCTCAAGCCATCTGACCTGAAATACCAATAGCTACAAATATCAATTTCAAAAGTTATTAATTTAGCCTATTTTTGTTGTTAATGATCTCTAAAGTAGAATAAAATATTTTATCTCTTCATCTAAAAAAAATAAATAAAATAGTTGAGTAGTACCCACTGAGTACATATATATGTCGCAGATTATTTATCCAGACATCTGCCAATGGCTTTCAGATAGGTTCCATGATTTGGCTATTGTGATTAGCACTGCTATGAACATAGGGGTGCATAAGTCTTTTCAAATTAGTGTTTTCATACTCTTAGGGTAAATATCAAGCAGTGGTATTGCTGGATCATATGGTATTTCCATTTTTATTTATTTATTTATTTATAAAAGATTTATTTATTTATTTATACAAGCACTGGGTACAGTCAGAAGCGCGGGAGGGTGAGAGAATTCACCAGAGCCAGAGCGGGGAGCAGAGCAGGCAGAAGGACCGAAGTACACTGCTGAGGGGAGCAGCGGGCGGCAGGAGAGGTCTGCGCGCCATGCGGGACCCTCCTCCAGTGGCCGGGGAGCAGCCGGGGATCGATCGATCTGGCGCTGCAGAGGCTGCGGGCAGCTTTGCAACCCAGTACTCAACCGCTGCGCCACCGGGGAGGCCCCATTTTTATTTTTTTAAGGACTCGACATACCATTTTCCATAGAGGCTGCCCCAGTTTACATTCCTAGCAGTGATGTATGTTCCTTTTCCCCACATCCTTGCCATTTTCTGTCTTTTTGATATGGGTGATTCTCACAGTGTTGAGATGATATCTCACTGTGGTTTTGATTTGCATTTTTCTTGTAATAAGCCATATTGAGCATTTTTTTTCTTCGTGTGTCTGTGGGCCATCTGTACGTCTCCTTTGGAGAAGTGTCTATGCAGGTCTTTTGCCCACTATGTTTTTACCTTATTGATATTTTGGGGTGACTGTGTATGAGGACACTGGAACACAGACAGGGAAACTCTGATCCCCTGTCTGCATCCCCAGGCTTGGTCCAGCATATCAGTGGATGCTGTAGGCCTCACCTGCCCCTACATGGTCACCTTGTCATTCCATGGGCAGAGCAAAAGTGCTGAGGTTCGTACTGTGATCCTTTCTGAGAAGGGACAGACTCTTCTTCCAGCTCAACATGGTTAATCCCATGCAGCTCTGGGACTGTGACAGTGAACAGGGGAGACCTGGGCTCCCTGCTTTGGTTTCAGTCCTCCCGACTCTGCGGTTCTTGGTCCACCAAGGGAACTGAGATCATTTATTAATAAATATTATGAATGCAATTGATACAGCTAGCTATCCTCTGTGTGAATGGCTCAATTTATTAATGCTCTGCAAAAGATGGTTCCTTCACTTACTAGCAGCCTTATAGAATTTCATTAAAACTGGCTTAATTATTTTTAAAAGACAGCTCAATTAAATGCTGTACATTCCTTCTATGTGTGCTTGTAAACCTGTGTTATATGTTTCTAACTAATATGTATGTATGTATGTGCATGTGTGTATATAGATACATATACATTCAGTAGATATACACACAAACCCACATGCACACATACCTTGTGTATAGGTCCACACATGTATATGTATGTACACATGTAAAATTCATTTAACACATATATACATATGTGCATATATATTACTTAGCATTTGCTAAACAATATATATATATACAATTTATAAATAATGGTGTGAAGCAATTTAATTACATGGCATAAAGTGTTAGGAAAAACACCTAGGAACCAGGCCCCCTTTCTGTTGCTAGCTCAGAGTAGAGGCCATCCCGTAAGAGGATGGTGTGGGTGACTTGTCAGTGGCTCCACAGTGAAGTCCCAGCTGCAGGAGCACCGCCCCATGTCAGGAGCCAGCAGCTGGAGAGGCAGGCTCTGACCTTTGCTTCAGATCAACTATCCCTTCCCTTCCCAACAGCACTGAGATGCCGAGCTGGGGACTACTGGGGCACATGTCCTTGCTGAAGGAGACACAGACTTCAGGTTTTGTTTCTGGAGCTGGCTGTCTAGCTTTCCTAATGAGCAAATATGTTCTCTTTAAGGAAACAAACAAGCAAAGCAAAAACACCAATTCATCTGGGTTTTATTCATTTGTTTTAAATACAAACAAACAAAAGGACAGGGGAGAAGTGGTTATTTCTGCACCACTATTTCAAATGCAAGTTACTCCATCACCATTGGGGTGTTTGCATGGTGCTCGGTCCCCATAGGAGCCGCAGGGCTACTTCCAATGGATATTCCTAAGGCTTTTTTTCTTTCTGAAATTCCCAGCGTTTCTTTCAAGCCCATTTAACTGCAGATTTTGTTTATTCTCCCGGCAATCAGCATTTAAAATAAGACAAACAAGCATTTTTCCTGGTCCATGAATCCCTGCTGGCCAACCTCCACCTGCACACCTGAAGCCAATGTGTCCAATTGAATTTCTCTGTAACCCATATCCCTTCAGAGACCAGCCCCCTCCACATCCTAAGCTGGAAATAGAGAACTTAAGCAGGGCAAATGTAATTTTAAGAATTGCTAATGATGCTAGAAATCTGCAATGCAATTAGCATCATTGGATTTGGCGCTTCTCGAAGGCACAAAACTCCTTGTCATACCGCGGTGGCAGCGCCTCCATGCACGCTGGTCGGCCGGGTCTCCTGGCAGCCACTTCCCACCAAAACAGGAGCATTTGGTTAAGCTTCCTCTGTTTGCTTTCTCTGCTACTGACTTCTTTGTCTCTTTTCTGGGTGGTGGAGGGATGGAAAATTTCCACTGGTTATATTCTTAGTCCTCCAGTGGAACATTTTATTTTCTAGGTAATTGGGATCCCCACTTCGTGCACTAATTTTGCTTTCTTGGATTTCAGTCCTCCAGTTCAACCAATGTTCCCCGCCCCCCTCACCTTCCCCACCCCCTGCATCCTGGGGACTCCAGTCATTCTGGAACTGTTGATTGGTACCAGAGCAATCATGGGTTTCCCCAGTATTATCCATCATAAGATATACTTTCTCTCTTTTTTTCAACTTCAACCTCCTTTTCTTTGCCACCTTCCATGCCTCAGACGTAATATGAAGAATTAAATATAAGAAGAGATATATTAAAAATATGAAGAGAGACAGAGGGAGAGAGGGCGTGAGAAAGGAAAAAAGAGGAAAAGGGAAAGGGAGAAAATGAATTTTTGGCTGTAAAGCAAACCTTCACTTTTTCATAGGAAAACTATTTTTGCTCTCTGGAAAAATAACATGGACCAGGCTAAGAGGTCACAAAATCCAAAAGATGCTCTTGATGGGCCTGTTCAATTTAGCAGAGGTTTCTACTCTAGGGATCCTGTTTCAAACACAGAGGCCCAAATCAGAAGCTTGTAGAGGGGGGCTGTTCCTCCAAGATTCCAGATGTGTCTGTGAGACATGTTATGGGGCAAATTGATTTCACCCTTGGGAAACTAGAGATTTTTCAAAGTTATGTCTGTAAAGCCAGCTAATGCAATTCCCCATTAGTGCATTAAAGTGTGCCCTTATTAATTCAAACATAAAGGCAACAAAATAAGCTGTTAAATTTAAAATATAATACATATATAATGAGGAGAATGTGTGAAAGGCTTATTCAAATGAAAATACAGGAGTGTTTGAACTACTGAGGTATCTTTTGTATTGAATTATGAGCATATGTAATAGATTTAATTATTAATTTCCCCATTGTTCTATGCACACAGACAGGGTTCAAGGCACAGTCATTCTCCGGCTTTCATAGATCTAATTTGTATAATTATTGCCTGAATAAAGAATTGCTCCAATTCCTAGCTCTCTTTCTTTTTTCCCCCTTCTAAATACTATTTCAATGCTGCATTCCGAAAGGGGAACACCTGCCACTTCTTCAAAGTCAGCTGATCATTTGGAATGATGGACGGCGCTGCTGCCGATGACGTCCCCTTTCAAGTCTCTTTGTCTAAGTGAATTATCGTGCATCCTTTTAATTTTATTGAACAAATTACATTTGTCAAGGTCTATCTTTGTAAATAAATGATAACTAGAGACACATGGATGTGTATTTCTGCTGTTCAAGGGCTCTTGTTCCATTTCTGGAAGCCAGATGAACATGGAACAAAGGAGAAACTTTCCTCTAAAAGCAATTATCTTTCTGCATTCCCATCAGTATAATTATATTGCAGGGAATTTTAAGAAGCTGTAGAAGTAGAATTGAATGCTTAAAACTATATTTGCTGAATTGCTATGCAAAAGTTGAGCTGGCTATATTGCAACACACCAAAGAGTCTAACTCTCTCCTGGCCCCATATTTCTTTAAGTTTATAGTGTGTCCAGTGATGAAGACTTGGGGTGAGGGATAGGCCATATTTAGGGGTTCCTGTATTTCTTGAACGGAATAGCTGATGACACTACTGAAACCCAAGAGCTATAAGTGACTGGGAATGTATACAATAAAACCACCTATTGCCAGTCTGTTTGGAAAGCATCTGATTTGCATATTGCCCTCTGCCTGGAATAGAAACCTACTAGCTTATCAACTAATGCACTAATGGTGGTAGAATAAAGAGGGGATTTCTCATAAAATCATGATAGCAGCAGTACATTGCCCCAAAAAGCAAGTGAGCAGCTGGTTCAGAGAGATATTGAATGTGGTTTGTGTGGCTAACTGTGTCAATACTGCATGTCAACAAGGATCATTTCTTTATCATTGACTCCCCCATACTTCAGTGAAGTAAATTGTGTCATCTTATTGCAGAAGTCTATCAATAATCTCATCCCTCCACCTTCCAATTTTTACAAAGTACCTAATGAACATTTGGGGGACAAAGGAACAATAAGAAATGACAACAGAGTCAGAATCATGGACTAGTTTAGCTGGCTGGTGGGTTTTGAGTTATGACACAATTGGTAGGGTAAGATCGTGGTCTAGCAATCCTGAAAAAAAAGAAACCAAGAATTAAGGATGACCTTGTATCTTCACGGAGAGATGAGTAGAAGTGTGAATTAGAAGCCAAGAAAATAATATTTCCAGTTAATGAGAGTCCACATGGAGCAGTGGAAGGAAAAAGTATGGGCCCAAGAGTTGGATATGGGGGCAGCGACTGGCCATCTCCAACTAAGATATGAAGAATCTGGAGCAGGATGGTCAAATAGCTTAAGTTGAAATTCTGGGTTTAAGATCATGAATCCCATTATACTCGGCACTGACTCCACAGAAAATTGGTGGAGGGGAGGAAGATCCATGTACTGTGCTTTAGTTGCTAGAAATTTATGAATGTGCTGAAAAGTGACTTATTGCTGAAGACAATGAGTCCAGTGTTTTCTATCTCTAATTTCTGTGGCAGAGGTTTGGTGATAAGCAAGGGCTGGAGTCCAGGGTCTCACTGAAGGCAATATGGTTGGTCTATAAAATAGGTTTAAAATGGTGCTTTGGGCATCCTTATTGTTGAAAAGACTCCTGTAGGGTAAATGAAGATTGCTCAGGACTCTTGGCTCTGTGACTATCACCTATGGCCTTGAATGCATGAGGCGCTTGGGAGTGTGGGCTCAGGGTAGGCATGCCTGATGGTGGACACCTGGAGTATGGTGTGGGCGTGCATAAATGGGCACATCTGAGCCTGAATGCTGAGCGTATAGGGGTTACAGAGGACCATGCAGCAGAGTGCAGTGGAGAGTGGTAGAGAACGGCTATAAGAGGAAAGAACATATAGAGATATGCAGAGGCGGGCAAGTTGCTGTCTCCCTGCTGGCTTGTTTTCCCTGTGTACTATTAGAAAACCTGTGGGGCTGATGCCAAGGGCTCCAAGGTTCTCTTAAGCTGCCTGAACCAACCATGAACCTTTCCAGCCTGGGATGGTGGCAGAACAACTACTGTTTCTGGAAAGTTTTTTGACTGATGTGACTGATTGGATTCAGATCATCTCACAAAACAGGTAGTAAAGGGAGGGACAGAGAGAACCAGTGTGTCTAATTTAGTATTGAATTCAGTTTCCAAAACCAGTGCTGATACTATACCTGGCACTATGAATAGAGGATCGCCTATGACATGGTGGCTGCAGGACTAGGTTTGTCTTGCGGTAAAGAAGAGGTGAGGTAGGAACATCAGTGACTGGAGGACAGAACGATAAGGGCCATGACAGGTTTGCGGGGGGTGGGTGGGTGTTTGGCAGTACAGTGGAGGAATACTCAACTCAGCCTGGGGGGCTGGAGTGGTCAGGGAAGTGACCCTGGCAGGAAGTGAGGCTTGAGTGAGAGATCAAAGTGGGGGCAGGGGAATGGTAACAGAGGAAGGCTATTTGAGGACCAGTGACATAAAGCAGTAGGACTCAGTAAGGACACTGCTAATATTTCCATGCAGCTGAGAAGGAGGGTAAGTGAATGGAAGCAGATGAGGCTAAGGAAATCAGCACCTGCCAGGTGAGGAGGGTCTGGGGCCCAGCCAGGCAGCTTGAACTTTATGTCCCATATTGTGGGAAACACAAGTGGATGATATGATCAGGGTCAAACTTCAAAGCTTCATGCTGAGAGGTGTAACAGGCTATTGGGGCACCATGCACAATGAAGAATGGGACCTCCATTCAAAAACCAAGCAAAAAAAAAAGTATTGTAAAGATTCTAAAACAAAGAGCTTTGTCCTGGATTCTGTAGTGTCTCAAACTGCCAGGGTATTTTTTTTTTTTTTAACACTTTATTTAGTGTCACCTTCCTCAGGCAAAGTGAAAAATGGAAAAAGTGAAAACTTGTTCCTCATGGGACAAGTAAAAACCCTCATAGGGGCCTGGGTCCTACCCCAAAACTTGTGGGGTGGATGTGGGTTGTCCACCAGTTGCTGGACTCCTGTCCAGTAGCAGCCATACCAGTTGGCTGTGCCCCAGCTACAGGTGGAAAAGTGGAGCCAGGCATCTCCCCTTCCCAGCGGCCATGTGTCTCAGCCCTCAGTAGGCAGCCCCAGGGGTATTGCAGTGCCTGTGTTAGGGTATACTAGGCATCTGGCTCTGGAATAGGCTCAGGGCTGACTGGCATCATGGCACTATCTGCCCAGGATGGGACTGGTGCCTCCAGGCCCATCTCTATACACAGTGATGCATGCTCACCACCCAATTCTCACCCTCTTTATACCAGGGCCAAGGCTCCTGCTGGGGTTGGAGTTAGCAGGGCAGTGATCTCTGGGGGGCTCTAGGGGAGGAAAAGTGTGCCAGGACTCAGGTGAGCAGGAGGCTGAGAACTTGTCCCAGGAGGCAAAACACATATGAGCCAAGTTCCCAGGGTCTCAGCACATGGTCTATAGTGTCATGGACCTCACCACCAAAATACTAAATTATTAAGAGTTTCAAGATGGCAACCACAGAGCAATAAATCTCCTGTGGGGCCCTCTGGCCCAGGTCTGTGCAACTGCAGGGTTTACCATGAAGGTCTGCTGTCATTGGCAGCAGTGGGCGGTAAAGGAGCCAGGCTTAAGGCAGGGAAGGCATTAGGAAAGGGCCTGAGCTATCTGAATGAGTCATGAGAACCTCAGCTAAGGCTCAGGTGGGAATGGTGAGGAAGAGGAGAGAGGAGATATTAGGTGCATGCGAGTGAGCGAGTCAGTGGGATACAGGATACCTTCTGGATTTTGTGTGGGCAACTGGTACTTTATGAAATACTTTTATCATTTAATCTTCAAAATAGCCCCACGGAATATATATTTTTGTTTTTCCACTTTCTGGTGGGGAAGCAGCACAAAGAAAAGAGGTAATTTATCCAAGCTTACCCACTCAGAAGACTCGGGACCCAACCCAAGGCATTCGATTTCAACACCACATTCTATCCACTATGACAATGGGTTCCTCTGCTGTTCTGGATAACTCTGGCCTGTTGTTCATTCATTCATTCATTCATTCATTCATTCATTTCTTCATTTCACAAATACTCATCAAGTGATCACAGTGAGCCAGGGGCCCATCGAGGTGCCAGACAAGGCGATATGTTGGTAAACAAGCCAGGCAAGGCCTCTGCTCTCACGGAATGCCCATAATGCCCATTCGAGCAGGGCCCAGGTACCAATTTAATCAGAGATTCCCATAGGGCTTCAAGGGCCGATGGGAATCATTATTTATTTTTCTCTTCTGTTTCTTGACCCAGTTTGTAATGAATTAGGGTTTGATTAGCTGCAACAGAGCAATCATGACTACAGTGAGAGGAATAAGTGTCCTTTCGACCACCCCTATCCAAAAGCTGTGCGTAATTAGAAAAATCAAAACCTAGTGCTCATCATATCCACTTGGTTTGGCAGAGTCTGTCCATTTTGTAGATAAGTAATTATGTCGTTTTATTCTTTCATTAAAAAAATATTATCTCCTTCAAAGAACGTTATAAATTGCAGACTAAAAGACTGGGCACTCCTGATGAAGGCTAAATTTCAAAGTATTAAGTTGTTGCTGAGCCAACAGCATGGCTCTCAATAATGTCCAGATGACTCAACAGTGTGGGTCAGAAGGCACTTAACCGGCTGATGACTCAGCCCCGCCCAGTGTCTTGCACCACAGAAGACCGCCAGGAAGGCATGTGTCGAGTCGTGTTAGGATGAACCACTTTTCTCCCCTGGTGCACAGCCCCTGAGCTGGGGTGGCTGCCAGATGGCACCAGAGCTAGAACATGAGTATTCAGGGTCTGATGCAATGACAGGAAGTTTGGGGACTGAAGTCCTTTTAAAGGCAATGCTTTCTTTGATAGGAAACAACATATAAGAAGAATGATCACAAAGTGAGTAGCCATAAAGCACTAAAATCACTATCCTTGCCAGGAGACCTTTCCTGACCTGATGATATCTCTCTGGTCTGCCTTGTATCAGAGATCTGGGGTGGATGTGACAGGAAAAGCTGTAGTAACTGCCGGTGCACACCAGCACACAGAGGATGTCTCCTCATAGTCCTCGGCTTCTAAGCGAGTGTTAGAGAGGAGGCTGGAAGGTTAATAGGGGTTGACTCTAGAAGGTCTTGTCTGTGGTAGGTATGCGAAGAGTGGTGAATTGATTCAAACCAAGGG